CTGTAGAGGCTTCAATATCACACCAGTACCAAAAATGGAATCAAGCAAAATTTCGACCGATTGCTTGTACTTCAGTAGCCTCACGGGAATCCAAATAGCCATCCATGGCAACCTTGGAATTGAGAACGATGCCCACCACTATTTGATCAGTGGTTACCGGATCAGTGTCTCAGGATGGGTGTGACCAATGGTGAGAGGACAAGCCGGGTGCAGTCTGTTCAACAACCTAGTGAGGGTCATCGATCCTAATTTCGGGCACAACGCGCTTCAGTACCCAGGGTCTCGAGAACGAAAGACCATCTGGCGAACAACTGCTTTCAGTAATTCATTATCCGACCATTACAATAGAAGATGGCGAGCCTGGATCAGGTTCCTCTGCGAGCATAAAATCGGCTGAAACAATCGCATGCAAACTGGTTCACCTATCGCAAATGTACAAAGGCGGTGACCTTTCCATCGGTGCGGCGGAACCTTGTACACTATTCGGAAGTCGCATTTCAGCTCCACCTCATGGTCGGTGTCCACTATATGGGCCAGAATGATGCTACTCATGGTCCCGAGGCATCCTTGACGCAACCAACGTAGGTAATCTTCTTTCACGCGGTCGGATAAGTACCGCCCAAGTCGACTGCCTTCCGTCATACCCTATAGAAAACAACTAACCCACTAACATCTAGTTCGTTTTCCCGTCCCTGACACTGACCCTCAAGTGATCTGTTCGTTTTAAACTAAGTGGGCCGCATTTTAATTTTTATCCCCCATATGATTGTAATAGTCTGATGATGAAGCGTTGAAAGCAATTGCTCGCAAAATGGTCTTTTTCGTTCTCCAAACTAAAATGGAAATTTTCAGGCTACTTAAATCATCCAGTGTAAAGGTGTCCAACGTGCGTGAGATTGATACTTGTTGACTTCTCTTTCTTAGGTTGCGAGCGTTGGACGCTGTCAGGAAAACCAAATAGTGTGACCCACGGATTCCCGTGGTTAATACGGGAAGGTGTATGCAGATTTCAGGATTCGAATTATATTGTAGCTGCTGCTGGGAATTGCAAAAGGAAGATTAGTAATGGTGGTCGGGATGAGTACATAAGAAACAGGTGGAGAAGAAAGAAGGAGGGTATCAACATTAATATGTTTTCGCTTTATTCCCTCAGCTAAATGCAGCAGATACGGTAACCCTTTGAAAGCTGCCCAACGGGCTAGGTAGTATGTTGTTGATGTCGATATCCGGATCTCCCAATAAGCAAATCCCGTAATCCTCTCAATACTCTCACTCGGGAAGTTTATTCAGTTAGACGGCGTAGCAGGGGTTGAAGAAATTAGCTAAACAATTATTAAACCAACTTGCCTGAACTTTATTGATGCACTATCCTTTTTAACATTTTCAACTATTTGAATACTTCAAATTTACCCTCCATGTCAATGACAAGTTTTGCTTGAACGCCATCGGTCTGTTTCCATAACCGGGTTAGAAGAACCAAGCACCTTCATGAACACGTATCATTGAACGCTACATGCGGTGTTTTCCTGAATAGCATAGTAATGTATAAACAAACGACTAACTGAATTACACCCTTTGGTCTCATCCGCTAACAGTACTATGACAGGTACTACTATTACTATCACAACCACTACTACTACTACTGTCACTGCTGCGACTTCACTACTGCTACTGCTGCAGCAGGAGCGCTTCGTTATAAATCACATGGCACATGTCGCTGGGCGACTATGATGTTACTTTTCCCAGCGGATAAACAACAATTATGTCGGTGAGAATACGTTTTCAGAAACTATGCACAATGTATACAGAGCAGTGTTCGTAGACGGTAGACCTTTTCAACCCACAAACCTTTGTTTGCTACCATCTGCGATTAAGCGCCGAATTCACCGTTTCAGTGCAGATATCGTATGACTTACAAACTGTGCGAATAAGACGTGTCCTGAACGCGACGCAACCCCTATTTATGTGGGTACAATCAACTACAATACTTTTCAATTGTTGTAAACGGAGAAGAGGCCACCTGCACGCAGAGCGTACAGCGGATGTTTGGTGGGACAAATTCCCGTGGATCCTTTGATGCATTTATTTAGAAGCGAGTTAATCCGTTAGAGAGTAGTTAGAACTTAGGAATGGTAAACAGCCTGGAAGATCCGTGTTAGCTTGAGTAAATCTAGGACCTCAGTGGTAAATATTCGCTTTATGGCCTTGGTAAACGTAAGAGAAAGGTAAGTGTATCATAATTGCAGACTTGACTGCACAGTTTAGTGTAGGTACAAATAATTTTTAACACAGCTAGCTGAGTACTGTCGCTGTTGACAGCTAGCATTTTAGAAGTCGTGTAAGATAATTGTGCGAGAATAACACAATGAAGATTTGCGAGTGAGTTAAATAAGGGAAATCGCAGTGAAACAGTAAAGCGTCGGTGAATCGTGGGTACTGCGGCGCACCCTTGACGGGTTCCCGCGAATAACAGGGTTGGGAATTGGGTATAGAAAAGCAAAATGGGTTACGGAGATACCGTACTCAACCCTACTTGTGATTAAAATGGAATCCTTCTTCATATTTACGACCTTACGCACTACCGAGTGGTTTACCATCCCAAATAATGGAGGTCACCATGTTAGACGACAAAGTGCAGTGATTTGGGTCTATTGTTTAACAGCCGTTCTAAAATCGCCACTGTGGAATCAAAAACAACTGAAAGCGCGGCAGCGATTTTCAACCCTAGACAACTGTAATGCTCTACTGGTCTTAGCTGATAACCTGTTGGACAGATGTTATGACGGCTTGCTGGACTGTGATTATTCATTGTAGTTACAAGCTACAACTTTGCCAGTTCTTGATGCCTATCGAACTCCATCAACCTTCTCCTTGTAATATGGTGGCCCATTGTAGCTCAATGCTCCCGCCATGTGCCCAATGTCTGTGTTTCTACCCGGCCAGACAGGCAGGTGGGTACAGAAGTTTAGCACATTTCATCATCCAGAACTAACAGGACACCTGCCCTAAAGTTCTCTCAGTGTTGACTGAGTCTGTAGGCAATTCATGTATGAACGTGACCCTGAACATCTGGCAGACGTCCAAAATTTGCCTTGATCATTCATTTATTTCATATGATTGCATGCGATCACCATAACTAACACGTTTCGGCTTACAAACTTCCCCCATTTGCAGAACGTATCCTGAAGATACGTTTAGTTGTCTGTTTATTTCGTTGACCCCTTGATTTCACAGCGAAGCAGCTCAGCAAAGTTACCAAATTTTGGGCTCGTGGGAAAAGTTCTGGTGCTGCACTGTACGCAGAGGCATAAATAAAAACAGATTTGTAGATAGAACCCTCTTCAGGTCTAAGGTCTGTCATCTCAGATATGATAGATGCATATTACATGACTCGAGTAGTTTACTTCACGTTATAAAGCGAAGGCGGCAGTTATGTTCCTCTGTTGATTGAGGGCCCTCGATAGCCTCAGGCGGTGTGAAGGAAATTTGTAGCAAACGACTGAGGGTCGCAACTGTTACCTGAGAGACTCGCGTAGGATCTTTAAGACTCGCAACCAGAGTATGGTCACAATGGACTTTTATTTAACCTAGGAGCCACCAGAGCTTAAATAGTTGTTAAAGTGTTACTGTCTTTGTTTGTTATACTTCAAACTTATGTTCCTCCTAACATGTAGGAGAGAAGGAGCAAAATGGAGGATTTTCCGGATGACCATCTTCGATGCTTGTGTATTTCCACTACTAATGCGATGGAGATCAGGAATAGTACTGCTTTCCAACACACCATGTCCCTTCCTACCTTTTCAAAAGACATACTTCCTCTATCACAGCAAGAGTGGGAACTACCACTGTATCATGAGATGTTGTCAATTACTGGTCACTATAGAGAATAGTGAAAACTGGATGTATGAGCTACTTGTTATTGCCGCACAGAATTCAGGGTATTCCTTTTGCTACTGCACCTGCAATTCCAGCAAGTAATTAACCTATGGCACACCTAACAGTTAGAGCGTAGGAAAAGGCGACACTGTATCACAAATGGTCTTTCAGTCACGTCGGCAGCCAACATATCCGCTGCGCCTCATGGGCACACATTAATTATAAACGCCTGTTCACGCTTTCAACCCTGCAGGTTGCCTGAGGAATGCCCCTGTCTGATTGATCACGAAAGAATGCATCAGATGTTTGGCTGGGTTTAAATGTACTGAATTACGTCAAACCAGTTCAACTTCGCCTATCAAATTTGTGCCAAGGCGACATCCGTCCATCCATATATATTTCCTCATTTCCGGTACATGTTCCGGGACAAAAGACAGTTTTTCTTGCAGACACCTATTTGCGCTGAATAAAAAGGCAGAGTAGAGAACCACAGTCTCACGCACAAGTGCAAAGAAATAACTATCTTTCGTCAAAAAAGGACATCAACTTAGTTCTTTTACGTTCATAACGGATCCCGCTTAGTCACCCAAGAAGGGACTGAGTAAGCACATACTGCTACATCCATATGCCTTTGTTGTTCGTTAATAATTCGCTTCTGAGATTTCATACAATGTTATGCGATCGATGTGTTGTTTATGTTAGGATAGTTGGATAATCTCTAACACCATTCGAACACAGTTTCCCACTTTGTTATCGTGATAATTGGAATAAGGACCAATTTCCTCAGCTTTCGGACGCTACGCTTGATTACTTATTACTTGCTTAAATTTCAGTAGGCGAGAATATGCTATCGTTTTTTCGCACACATGAAGTTGCGGCTCCACTGACTGCGTTTGTGTGAATGCAAAGCACCTTACCTAATGGGAACTATCACTGCTCTTGTACACAAGCTGCAAGCTCAACTGTTGTTCAACCCCTACACTCGCTGTTTTGGAGTCAGAAGGAGGAGCTTGGCAAGCATTTCGTACTGACTCCAACCGGCCGTGTTGTATGCCAAGCAATGATAGTTTCTTCCATCCCTACTGTAGTTTATTGTTCCTTTCCCGTTTTAAATCGTGTTTCAGACGGTACCCACGGTCGGAAGGATCTAGAGCATTCGGGCCAGGAAACTGTCGTCGAACACCGATGGGTTAATGTCTCTGCATTGAAAGAGGGCTTGCTCGATTTCTCGTTTCTGCTAGAGTGTTGTGAACCAGGCACAATCCCCGAACCCCAACTGGTTGCCGCTCTCTTTGATTTGGTGAGTTCGTTTTATCATGTAAAGTGATATCCAAGGAATGCTTATTATACCATAGTCTTTGTTGTGAAGGGTCCTACGACTACTTCCACAACTAAGGGTAGTGAGATCACGACCACGCAAGGACAAAGATTCAGGTATCTTTTACATAGTAAAACGATTCCATTTTATTGCATAACTCACAAAATGAAAACCAGCTAGAGTGCGGAAGGTCTGCTGACAGCTAAAGCCAAGAAAAATTACACGAATTAGGACAATCGATTTGCGTCTGTTATGAATTGTGTCCGGTCACGTCCATGCGTTCAAATTCTCTTGATGAGGAACCTCAGCCTGAGCGTAATGGAAGTCCCTGCTTTTACAGTGGTTAATTCAACGCATACTTGTAAGAAGTGATCGTTTATATATCGCTATAGAGCCACGTCACCTTTCCCACACGAGTGAAAATGGGTGACCTGTGCTCAGCAAGGGGGAACTAATGGTTGAAACCGTAAACCTGGACAGGCAACAGTCGAGTTGCGGGTTCGAGCCCTACCAGGATCCAATGGAATGCGCATTGCTAACGATTCCCGAAGAGATGAAACGCGCTTACAGTGCTTTTTCGGGTGTGTGATGGCTGTCTGAGTGAGTCTATATGTGACGAATTTCCACCTGTACCCTACAACCCCTACTACTCTTCTGTAATCAGTACGCAGACCAAACTGCTTATAATGCATAAGTTAATTGACGGACTAAGTTTCCTAAGCTCGTCGCTTGATTAGGAGGCTACCCTGTCCTCTGTATGGCAGTAAGACGTAAGTCAGTGGAATGTGAGCGGCTCTATATAACATCTTATTTACCATGGTCGCTGCCGTCCCTCGTAGCTCAGTGGTCTGAACCACAGACTGGCAACAGTCGAGTTGCGGGTTCGATCCCTACCAGCGTCCGATGGAATGCGCACTGCTGACGATTTCCGAAGGGATGCAACGCGCGTACAGTGCTTTTCCGGGCGTGTGACGGCTGTCTGAGTGATCCTAGATGTGACGAATTTCCACCTAAACCAATTGGCCTTTCCTAGCCGAGCAGACGCTTGATGTCGCCTCAAAGCAGTTTATCAGTACTTTAACCGGGATAGGGACAAATGCGACGGAAACCCAAGTCTTACGTACAAAGCAAACGAAGCCCTACTTCAGGAATTGGACTCAAAAGTACATGACCTTAAGGGAATCACCCTATCGCGCTTATAAAGCCACTGCGAGTCTACAGGCCTGGAGTGCTCACCAGGCTCAATAAATCCACTGCGTCAAGTTGGTCCGTGATGGCCAACTCAAATATGAACAGGGCATAATGATTAAGTTCAGTACTAATCCTAAACGCTGTACAACCAAACCAACAAGGTCCGCAGGGTGCAGTGTGGAATCCCAGTTCTACATGCAGCAGATAGTCCAGCGTTAACTACGCAAGAGGCGGCAAACGTGCTTCGGTAGAACTTCCTCTACAATTTGCATAGTGATTCGCCAACTCACCCGCTTTGGGCAGAGCTCACACCGTCACCAAGGCTATGCCATGTATCCTCCACTGAAGCGAATGTGAAGAAAATACCTTGCGCATGCACTGCTCTCTTGACGTGGGCGGCATGAGACCGAAGGCATAAGATACAGTCGCCATAAACAGCACCGAACCTTTAGCTCGGTCCTTTCAACCATGCCTTGATGAAAGGCAGATTCCATCGTTGTGGTCACATGGACTAATCACTCCTATTTACTAGAGTGGCAGTCGTACAGAGCCCTAGAACTGCCGTCCAATCACTCTGCTCCCGGCGGTTTTCTAAGTAATGAAGACACTATGGCAGAAGCGGCCATGCGTTACCTTAATAGTTACCACATCACAGTGCTTCAGCAGCACTAATTTTACCGATATCAGTCCTACACAACAACCATGGTGCTAGCCCCAACAAGCTGGACAGAATCACTCAACGCCAGAGTAGGCATGGAAAGCATCTACTGGACTTCTCAAAAGCATTCGACCACCTGGACCATTTCATTCTCCTTCATAATGTTCGAAGGTATGGAATCGGTGACACTTTCCTAGATAGGACAAGCAACTTCTGTATTCAACGTCAACTGGACGTTAGAGTCTGCCACGTCATTTCCGACCCAATTAAAGTCCAGTGTGGTGTACCCCAAGGATCGGTATTAGGATCACGTCCATTCCTAGCATTTATCAACGATCATGGCAGCATACCCCAGGCGATTTTCCTACCATTTACAGACGATGTCATGATCTGGTACGGCATCAAGACATTGGAGGATTTCACGGTACTGCGGAGTGTTCTCAACACGACCTATACGTGGTGATCCGAGTATAGACTCCAATTAATTCAAGCGTAATGGAAGGATTGGTGAATACGCCATTAGCGTACACATGCTTATCGGCCTGTTGTTGCAACATGCTACACAGTAAGGTGCTTTCCGATTGCTTGTGAAGGATGATCTTGGCTGTTCGAAACAAGCCGAAAAGATATCGAGGAGAGCTAGTCAACAGCTTAGCACCCTACAGAGGACGTTTTGGACATTCGAACTGTTGTGGCGGAGCCCCTTGACTGCTTCGACCTCACAAATGCGTCGGAGCTCAGCGACCGCTTCCACCCACTAACGGTTATAGAATACAAACGAGCAGATATAAGGATTCAAAAGTTCCTTCACTTAGGGAAATCACTTCGTTATAACGAAGTGACGCGTGACGCACAAGCGTGAAAGCCAAGCAGATTACGGAAAGCGCATGGACAAGCAAAACCAATAAAAGACTGAAGATATAAGGAACCAATCAGGTGCACACAACGAACGGAAAGTGAGACTGTTAACGTCGGAGTATGGTTGCGATATGAAAACAAAAGGAACGACTCCCCTGACCAATAGGCTTGGAGAAACGCTAAGTTAAAACAAAAATCATTGAACCACCGGATCAAATCTAAAGTCTGCAGTCATGAACGGTTGCACAAGCATAAATGTAATTTTATTGCTCCTCTAGCACGAGCCATGTATCTTACCGCAAAAATTGCACGTTTACTTGAGATCTCATGTTGTTTAAGCCACTCAACACCGACCTTCTTGGCGTGGCCATGCTGTAGATGCGCTTGAAGTTGCCTAACGTACAGCGACCGAACTCGTTTGGAGGTTGTATTACCTCCCCTGCCAACTCCGACTGCAAGCCCTTTGGATAGTACATCGGTGAACATCAGCAGCTACGAAGAGGCCGCACCATCGGGCACTTAATGCTTGTGAACCATAGCCACGCTTGTCGAGAACTGTTACAACTCAACCTGTGAATCCACCAGATCAAAATGCTACGCACAACAATCTAAATGCTTACAGACAAAATGATTTTCCTCTTTGAGTGTCCTGAGCATTGAACCCTCCTTCAACACAACATAGTGTTGCTCCTACTTTACACTTCTAAAATAGCTTGACTATATGCCATCCCATTTGTATTATGTGACGTAGTCGCTTCCACTCAAAGGGACGAAATAACGCAAACCAAACTGTGTGCTCCGCAGTCATTTCCGTAACCTAGCCATGAGGAAACCCGCATCACTGTTCGTGCGGATAACTTGGTGAGTTACTTAAATCCGAATTTTTCCTTTTTCTCTTGCCACTTTTCATACTCCTCCCTCTGGTCATCCTAAGGGGCTTGTTAATCTCTCACTTTTTTGCCCGTTATAAAATACTGTTGACGGTTTAGATAATGTCAACTTGGAAAAGCCATCAGCAGACTATTGATGCATATCTGAATCTTGTGATATCTGCAGTACGCAAACACAATACACCGCTGCTCCCCAACTAACGAATCAGTTCCTCCGCCACGATGGTCCCAAAGCGTTTTGAAAGCAAGGAAACATGCAATATTTTGCGGCAGTTCACGCGTTGAATACGACTGTTTCGCTTATAAATAAACCTTGTAAATATGACGAGAAGGTAACTCATACCTCACCGATGTTTTACTGATAAACGGGATGAAGAGTCAATCACATACGTGTAAGAAAACTACAATACACTTCAATATATATCCTCTGCTAGGTGATAGCCGTACCTTCTATGTTACCTGGGTCATTTTGGCCAGCAGTGGTTGAAAAGAAATGTGCCCAAGCCACAGTGTTAATGTAAGCTTTAGGAAAATATTTGCAATGAAAGTAGGCTGCAAAAGTTAGGAATGGACTGTTTGCTCTTGTCTCATCTCTGACCCACAATTAAAGCAGTTTGGGACCTGCACGTAACCCAAAAACGAAGCACAACACAGAACGAAGTCCAGCGAGCCCGAGGTGAACTGCATTTGCGGTTGTGGAAAACGGTGCGAACTGGTATTTTGTGTCCTGGATGCAGCAAACATTATTCGGCCAAATGCGCTTGTCTGCAAGTAAAGTTAAGAACTAAAAGACAATGCAAGCCGCTTCTGCTTCTTCCCTAATAATGTGGCTATCGCACTTGTTTGGGGCGTAGTTGGTTTGGTACACAACTGCCATATCCTAGCTGCGATGGCCAAGAATCTAGACTTGAGAAATGTTCGCCTTCAGGAGCAAACGAAATCGCTATTATGGACAAAGGTTCAAACTTTGAACATAATGGTCGAGTCAGGAGTAAGTTTAACGCCGTGAAGTCAAGTACACAGGCAAATACAGTCCGAAACCGGGCTAATAACTATGTTCTACCGACTCCGTCGACTCCCATCCCTGCCCACGGAATATCGCCTGCTTGTAACTATGTGACGCATGTTAAAGTTGTACCCAGTAATATACTCGCTGCCGCTGCAGGCGTAGCTGCATGCGCGTCCGTTCCAGATACACAAGAACCAGAAGTAAATTTTATGCTTGTATCTGAAGCGATCACAAATGGAGACCACAATTTCCACAATTGCGTCCATAATTACAAAATAGGTAAGGCCCCATTCCTTCTCAAACCAGATATTTCTAGACGAGCCCAAGAATTACTGAAGAGCCTATGTTCCAGCATACCTAAATCTAGTGCGAACTTCATAGGATTTAATATGTTGGGTGACCG